GCTAAGATGGAGGGGGCTCTCTCTATACTGACTGCCAGGTGTAAAGGGCGGAGCTTATAACAATGATTGCCAGGGAGCTACGATGAAGGTGCTCAGTTACAGAATAAAAGGTTGGGGGGGGGGGGGCTTTTTACATTCACATGTTATTATTATTATTATTTTTTTTTTTTTAAAGCGCCAACATATTTCGCATTGCTTGATTTACTAAAGTGAAAATTCTAAGTGAATTTCAAATTAAGGCCAAGGAAATGAAAAGGGAAGAATAACCAACTCTGATAAGTTTTTTTACATATCAGATTAAATATTTGTTAAGTATATGGACAAGTAGAAAAACATGTAGAAACACAGCATCGTGTGTTTCTATGGCTAACCAAGGAGTTGATTTAATATCAGTCGATATGTGATAACGGCAGCTTTTTGGTTTCCGATAAGTCTTTTAATGGTTCATATTGTTTAATATAAACTATTTCAGGCTTATCGGAGCCAATAAATATCGGTTCGAGAAACTTGAACTTTCGGGTGATTTTTAAAACCTTTGACATCATTCTTATATTTTCCATTGAAAATATCTAATTCAGTGATTCAATATAATATATCAATTCAAGAGCTAAAAGCTGTTGATAAAAGGGTTTTCATTAAAAAAAAAATATGAAAACGCCAATGAACAGTGTGGGCATGTCACCTAAACACTGGATGCAAATCTACCGAACAGTAAAAGCATGTTTACAAAACAGTGAGGGCATGTCTACTAAACAGTGAACAGCTAACAGATATTACTGTACAGATTACCCCAATATCCCCCACCATGCTCAGTAATCAAAATCCATATGGTGTAGACCATGGTAGTGGCAATGTATGTGAATAGTGACATTTTATCTTTACCAATTTTACAGCAACAATTAAAGCACTATTATCAATTAATTGCTAAATAACTATAAAAACATCTGCATATGCCCAATTGTGAGAATTATTAATATTATTAACATTTATACAGCGCCAACATATTCCGCAGTGCCTTAATGAGCCTGAGTTTTCCCAGAGACATCACCATTGCTCTAACCAGATGATATTAATGCAAACATTTAAAAAATACTAATTCTCTCTCTATGTGCAAGTTGAGCTCACTTCCGAGATTTTTAAAACACATCCAAACTAATTTTGCGTGCATCCGATAAATGTCAAATTCCATTTTGACCAGCCATCCCGTTTATCACCTTCGACTGGTCCATATTTCGGATGATATCACATCAAGTTGAAATTCAAAAAGATTTGATGCCGAAGCTAGCTTATAATTTTCAGCATGTTTTTCGAATAATATTACCTGCTTTTTAAGATGTTTTGGATTGTAAATCCCACTTTTTGACCAAGTTAACAGGAACCAGAATTGATTTCCTTTGATGTTGGTCTGCTTTGTGCTGTTAATAGAGAACCATGGCTAGAGTTAAAATCATTGCATCTGCGGTCCTAACATTTACTAGTGGGTTATAGATGCCATGTGATGAAAAATATATAAAATAAAGGGTGTGAAATATCTTACTCTAAAATTATAAAATGGAACAGAAAACACAAATATTAAGTAAAAAGTTATACAGTATTGGCTGATCAGGAACATTGCAAGGGGAACAGGGCTTATGGGGGCTTGATTCCTGGGTTGGGTTCTAGAAAAAGCCCATGGGCTAATTGTGGCACCATTCATTGTAAGCTCTGAGTTCCCTTTAATACTAAGAGATAAATAACACCTCTAATTATATAATTTGACACAGTGCCACTTGTGGAGGTATTGCTATTAAGAAATATTAAAACAGTATGGCTTGGGGTTATTACAGTAGGTTTGATTTATAAATATAGCAATACTCCGGATTCAATCAAATGTTTGGTGTCACAATATAACGTGAAGAACACATTAGGGTTTAGGATTGGATATACTATAGGGCTGTTTTCAGGATGATCTCAAGTTAATATATGCAGTGTGCTAAAAATAATAATTTGGGGGCTAATACCCCTGTTTATTGCCATCTAACAACACCTCATCTGCTGAACATCTGTGATATAGTGTAAATATCTAGATATGCCTTTAGTTTTCTTTTTAATTATTAACTGATGGATAAAAACCTACGGACGCATTTATGAAAGATTTTAGTTTGCAAATGACTTATTTCACATATTTCACATATTTCAATAAAAAAAAATAAAAGGTTCTTATAATTTGAAAATCATTCATTCGTTTAAAAAAATAAAAGGTTACAATATTATTATTACAAATATTTCATTTAATGCACAGATGTAATGTTTTAAATGAATCCAAGATGAAATTGTTGATTTAAGCCGCAGGACATCAGTTTGCATTTCACCAGAATAATAATTAATGTTTTATCTGTGCCATTTTGTCGTACATTTTAAACATGGAAGTCTTTCTTGTGGCTTTTGTTTTGAGTCGATGTGATGGCAGGGAATTAGAGCACTTCTTTTGTTTTTAATTTGTTTTCCGGGGCTCTTGTGATAGATTAACGTTGCTTGTTAATTTGTTCATCAAGTGGTTGGCTTGTTTTTCCAAAACCGTAAAGTGTAACAATGTCTCATTACAATAAAGGTCAGTAGGTTTATTGTAAACATGAGGGGTTGTGCGTATCTATTATAAAATTTAGAATAGTGTAGAAATCTGACAAACAAGAAAGTAAATTAAAATAGGTCATAAATAATTATAAGCATAGGCATCCTATTTCTTTAGTTTTATATTCTTTTATTTATTTATTTTTTTACTAATTTCTAAGAGCAGTTATATCTACTAAGAAAATTAAGTAATCTTTACAAATGCACCGGCTAAATATGACTTAATCGAGTTAAAAAATATATAATTTCTTTTATCACTCACAAGCAACCATTTTTCACATAAGTATTTCATTTTGAAATAAGAAAAAAAAATCAAGTGTTGCGGAGTGCAGCAGACTTTAGAATAGTTAGGAATCCCCTTGCTATACTCAAGTCTCCTGCACTCCGCAACACTTGTCGCCTCCCCCCACTTTCACCTAGAACAAAGGATAACTAAATATACCCTAACAAATCACTGTTATATCTCTTCTGGAAGCCATGAACAGGCATGTACGCTATACAAGGAGCTATCATACTGTCAAAGAATGGCCTAACATCTGCACGCATGCACTGCGACGGCGTTCAGGAAGAGCGCTGGTCTGAGATGGGGTCTGTGAGGAGCAATGAGGGAGAAGGCAGGCGCGCTCAAGGGAGGATGCAAACTAGGTACCAGACTGGAGGAGGATCATTTTATTAATTAAGGTTTAAGGGACAACTGTCATCTTAAAATTATTTTTAATATAATAATCCTTTCATCAAGTTTTAAAAGAAAATATTTTTATTTTTATTTTTTTGTTAAATGAAATAAATGTAAAAAAAAAAAAAAAAATTTAAAAAGGGAATTCCTCCCTTTAGTATATGGCAGGAGCCATTCGGCCATGTACATACACTTTAGGTCGGACAGTACTTGGAAACCGACAGTAATCAGGTCTTATGACATCTCTGCCCTGTGCAGGAAGTGAAGCCAGGAAAACCATAGAGACTAACTGTGCGTTTTCAAATACTGTCCGACCCAAGGAGTATGTCTATGGCTGAAGGATCCTGTCCTATAGTAAATATCATTTTACTTACACACACTTCATTGAAAAATCTATTTCATTGCAATATTTGGTAAAAAGGGTTGTTATTATAAAAATAGTTTTGATGTGAGAGTTGCCCTTGACAAGGAGAGGATAATTAGAGAGTTATTATAAAGCATGTGTGTCTAAATTAATATTATGTGAGTTTTTTATTTTCTTCTTTATTTTGAAATGTTACACAATTTTCCCTCCCATTCACCTATACGTAACATGGTGATATTCGATGATTGGAAATTTAGAAAAACACTCTCTTACAGCACTGTAGCCATCAGCAAATGTCACGTTGACCATCTGAGAGGAATCTGGATGTTTTTAGACAGGGGAGCTGACGTGAAGAGACCCGGGATTTAACCCCTTAAGGACGGAGCCAAATGTACACGTTGTGAACAAAACAAAATGTAAGCAAAACCTGGCATTTGTGCTACATGTCTGTCCAACCGCAATTCACCTCTTTCATATTAAATGCACCCACCCTTATTATATATCATTATATTCAGGGGAAACAGGGCTTTCATTTAATATCATATATTTAGCTATGAAACATAATTTAATATGAAATAAATTGGAGAAAATTAGATTTTTAAAATTTTTTTTAGTTCTAAATGACATTTTAACTGTCAATGTCATAATACTGTTTGCTTTTACTGCAATAAAATACACATATTTGTATTTAGCAAAGTCTCAAGTGTAAGACAGTACCCCCTATGTACAGGTTTTATGGCATTTTGGGAAGTTACAGGGTCAAATATAACACGTTACATTTGAAATTGAAATTCGCCAGATTGGTTACGTTGCCTTTCAGACTGTATAGTAGCCCAGGAATGAAATTTACACCCATAATGGCATACCATTTGCAATAGTAGACAACCCAAGGTATTGCAAATGGGGTATGTCCAGTCTTTTTTAGTAGTCATTTGGTCACAAACACTAGCCAAAGTTAGCGTTAGTATTTGTTTGTGTGTGAAAAATGCAAAAAACGCCAATTTTGGCCAGTGTTTGTGACTACCAAAAAAGACTGGACATACCCCATTTGCAATACCTTGGGTTGTCTACTGTTGCAAATGGTATGCCATCATAGGGGTAATTTTCATTCTTGGGCTACCATAGGGTCTCAAAGGCAACGTAACCAATCTGGTGAATTTTAATGTGAAAAAAATGAAACATAAGCCTTATAGTTGACGCTGTAACTTTTGAAAACACCATAACAACTGTACATGAGGGGTACTGTTGTACTCGGGAGACTTTGCTGAACACAAATATTTGGGTGGGGTATAGTGACACAGTAACAGAGGGATTGGGGGCCCTGCTCAGTGAGTTTACATGCTATAGGGAGTGGGGTATAGTGACACAGTAACAGAGGGATTGAGGGCCCTGCTCAGTGAGTTTACATGTTAGAGGGAGTGAGGTATAGTGACACAGTAACAGAGGGATTGAGGGCCCTGCTCAGTGAGTTTACATGCTAGAGGGAGTGGGGTATAGTGACACAGTAACAGAGGGATTGAGGGCCCTGCTCAGTGAGTTTACATGCTAGAGGGAGTGGGGTATATGGACACAGTAACAGAGGGATTGAGGGCCCTGCTCAGTGAGTTTACATGTTAGAGGGAGTGGGGTATAGTGACACAGTAACAGAGGGATTGAGGGCCTGCTCAGTGAGTTTACATGTTAGAGGGTGTGGGGTATAGTGACACAGTAACAGAGGGATTGAGGGCCTGCTCAGTGAGTTTACATGTTAGAGGGAGTGGGGTATAGTGACAGTAACAGAGGGATTGAGGGCCTGCTCAGTGAGTTTACATGTTAGAGGGAGTGAGGTATAGTGACACAGTAACAGAGGGATTGGGGGCCCTGCTCAATGAGTTTACATGCTAGAGGGAGTGGGGTAAAGTGACACAAAAGGGTAAGGATAGTATTAGGGAATTAGATTGGTAGAATAGTATTCACTGAAGACGAGTGTCAGTTGTTTTTTGTTTTTTTTATACTGACAGTTGCAGGAGATAAATCAGTTGGGAACCATTAACAGTTTAATTGATATGCTTTTGTGAAAAAAAAAAAAAGCATCTAACGGAAGAGCTAACGGAGTTCCACATTAACGGTGCAGCCCTAGAGTAGTCTTGAATGCTAGCATCAGAGGTGGGAGTACGAACCGAGGATAGATGCAGGTCTTCGGCAGAGTGTAGGGGCCTAGACGGGACATACTTGTGTATTAGAGAGGATAGATAGGTGGGAGTAGTATTATGATTAAATAGACAGAGAATAGTGTACCTATTTAAGGATCAGTATACAGCATTACTCCAAAGTGATCTAGATATACATATATATATATATATATAGACCTAAATATCTGTGCACACATCTGTGCCAAGATATATATGGATTCAATCAGACACATTTAATTCTAATGGAGTAATAAGGAATATTACGGAGAATAAGGAGGACAGTTGCAGGAGATGAATTACTTGGGAGCCATTAACAGTTTAATTTATACGCTTTTGTGAAAAAGTTAATTTTTAATTATTTTTAATTATTTTTTGAATGAGTGGAGACTGGGTGATCGTCTAATGGAAAAATTAGTTCCACAGGAACGGTGCAGCCCTAGAGAAGTCTTGAATGCGAGCATCAGAGGTGGGAGTACGGACAGAAGATAGACGCAGGTCTTCGGCAGAGTGTAGGGGCCTCGACGGGGCATATTTGTGGATTAGGGAGGATAAATAGGTTGGAGTAGTAATATGTAGAGATTTTAAAGCAAG